TCGATCCCCTCTTGTTCATCTCTCAGTTCAGCCCGACCCTTCACGATTCCAACCCCGATCCCAGCCAGGTCTTATCCCGAGCCCCATCGACCCGACCTTTTAATCTGATCTCGTCCCCTACCCATCCCGACTCACCCCTTGGTCCCTCCTCGTTTACTCCCGATCTCATTCCCGATTGTAACTAAATCAGTCTGATCCCTTCGATCCCGATCTCAACGGTCTCAACCTAACCCCAACTGACCACGACCCCATCTAGACCCGATCCCAATCTAATCTCTACCTCATCTTGTCTCACCCCGATTCGACCCGATCTCGCCCTCATCCTCTACCCCCTTCGACAACCTTGCCCCAACCGTGACTCAACCCATTCCCAATCCCATCTCGCCCCGCCCAGTCCCAACCCGACCCTATTGCAATCCCATCTTCGACCCCCCCCAACCACCCCGTCTCGACGCTAGCCTAATCCAACGCCGATCCCATCTTCACCCGCCCTGACCCAACTCAACTCGTCCTCATCCTACCCCGTCTTGACCCCATCTTGATCCTACCGTGAATCGATCCCAACCCTGCCTACCCGGTCTCGATCCCTTCTTGGTTACTTCTCAACTCAGCCCGGCCCCTTCTAGATCCCAACCCTTCCCCGATCCCAGCCAGGTCTTACAACGATCCCGACCCCTATTGACCCCACTCCGACCCTTTCAATCTGATCTCATCCCCAGCTCCCGATCTCGCCTGCCCCCTCGCCCAATCTGATCTCTACCCCACTTTCACCCACCTCCACTCGACCTCCTTGGCCCCCTCTGACCCACTCCGACCCAATCCCAATCTGACCCGATCTCGACCTCGCCCCGACCCAATTTAATTGTTCTCGCCCCCGTCCCACCCGACCCGAACTTAAACTGATCCCCACCCCGATTCAACTTCATCCCTCCATTGCTCCTGATCCCCGCCCCGATCCAATCGGCCTGGCCCTTCTCGACACCGATCCCAGCCTAGTCTTACAACTATCCCAATCCCAACCGACCCGACCTCGACTCTATCTCGTCTCGAGCCCAATCTGATCTCGTCCCAACACATTCCCATCTCGACCCCGCCCTGACCCGGTCGCGGTCCCATCACGGCGCGATCTGAGATAATTACCCCTTAAGTCAATCGGTGTGACGGACTAGAACGTTTAATTTCGAAGTCAGCAAGAATTGAACCCTCAAGAAACGAGAAAGATGGCCACCCTGTCACCAACTACGATCCCCACAAACCAAGAAGTGCCAGAAGACATTGTCAATGTCATTGATAACGAAGCTCTCAAATTCTTGATCGAGAAAACAAAAGTCCAAGGGATAGAATCCACGGGAAAACAGATAGTGGAAGGGAAGGAAGAAGAGATTGTTATATGGAAATACCTAGAAGAAAAGATTGCAGAACTGGAAAAGATGCGCGAAAGACAAGGAGTAGTGTTTAATTTCACGCGCCATGGGGCAGAACTCCAACCAGCAAAGAAGAGGAAGTGGATAATCGAAACAATTAAAAAAGAGCCAAAACTCAAGCAGATCGGAAATATGTTCACGCTGTAGAATCTAGGCCGTAACAGCATCATGGTGGTCTTTGTCCACGAAAGTCATGCACGTACAGTGGCCGAGATGCAATCCAGGAACTGTCCTGGGTCGGTTTGTACCATTACCAAATGGAAGAAGTTGTCAGCGCAAAGACAAAACCCAGTCTTTGCAGTCTCTTACAAACAGACCCTGCTCAAAGAGAAATTATGGGTTCAATTCGACAACATTCAACCTGGTTTCCACAGTTTACTGGTCGACAAACTCGAAAGACAATACACAACAAACACAATTCTTAAATGGGTTTTGCCGATGTCGGAATTCCTAGCCCCTCACTGTGGATCCATGACGGCGATCCTGGATGTTCAAACGGATGATCCCCCGGTCTTCCCACCAACCTGGAACTTCCAAATAGAAAACAGAATGGTGGAGGTAAGGATTTCGACCAAAACCTCACCGATCCGTTTTCGCTGCAGGGAACGAGGACATTTGGGAACTGATCCCACTTGCCCCAAATCCCCGAAGCAAGCAAAGGAAAGAAAGCTCTCGCCGAACATGTTGGTGGAAGTGGAGGATGCACCCGACATCTGGAATGTAGCCGACTCCGGTTATGATGGGTGGGTATTTGATGATAATCTAGACGAACCGGACTGGATTTGGCACTTTGCGGACCAGACACCGTCTGTCAGGAAACCAGAGATCTTTGCTCCGCGGATAGCAGGTGGCAGAAGATGGCAACCGGGAAGGCAAAGGGAAATCCAACAAAGATCAATGGTAACCCTCTTACACACTCGCGTATGATCAGGGAAGAAAAGGCTAGGGAAGATCTGTTGTTGGGATCTTGACACCATAAAAGAACAAATTGAGCAAGAGTACAACAAAAATCCGGCGACATTCAGAGAAGCCTTGAAACAAGCTGAACTCCGCACCTACATAACAAGAGACAGGTCCCAAACTGAAAACAAACGACCGTACACAGTACTGGTAACCTGCCTGAAAAGGAAATGGGCCAAAAGAAGAGAAAGGCAGAGGAAACTGGAGGAGGCAAGGAAGTAGAAATGGGAGAAAACATGAAAGGGCATGACACAATGGGGGAAGATCTGACGGGAGGCGAGAAGACAAGGAATCAAAAGGGAAGAGCAGTCCAGCAGAGGCTACCTCTGAAGAAGACGATCAATCCAGGTGGTCTCTAGCCTGGCTCAGAGAATATGTTGAAAGGCCAAGAGAGAAAGAGAGCACGTCTTAGATATCTGTGTAGCCTGCCTGAAACGCTCAGAGAGGTCCCAGGAGAATGGTAAGAAAGGCACTGTTGCAAGGATCAGCAAGTTCTCTAATCATTATGAAATGCTCAGAAAGGAAAAGGCAGAAGAATTTTTCGAGTACGCGGCCTTTAGATACGCAGAAAAGAAGAGGGCAAGGGATCAAGGGACAGAGGACAAGGACAAAACCATTCCCACAACAAAAGGGGAGTTTCAGGAGTTGCGACCCAAGACAAGGAAGGTAAGCAAAAACCAGAAAAGAACAGAGTCGAACAAGGAACAGACAGAAATGGAGGATGAATCAGACCGTATTCTCCTGGAGAAGGAAGCGGCAATACTGTTGTCATAGACAGAGAAACTGAAGAAATGGGACAAAGAATACACCCCATAATTCACGACTATCACGCAAATAGCAAGGGGTCAAGCTCCGATGGTGGTTGAGTCGGCCAAAGCAGCCCGGCGAACCTAAGGAACATTCGGCCTCTCATCGCAGCCAGATATGTGGCCAAGGCGCGAGAATGGCAGATTGCCACAAATGTATCCTTCAAAATCCCTCGCTTCGTGGAGGGGACAAACGTGATCAAGGAGCTCAAGAGGCAGGTAACAATGGAAACCCCACTGGGATTGTACGAGACGGTTGCTATGGATGAAAGCCAGATGGATATGTGCATGCGAGAGGGCTTGGAGGGCTCACAGAAGAATGTTGGGGAGACGAACAGGAATTCTCCAAGGGCCAAATCGCCAAAATGCCGGAATCGGCTGTACTAAATTCTGGGATATTTTGGAAACCTTGGAGGACGGTGGCTGAGGTCCCCTACAGCATCCTGACAGATATAGGCACGTCGGCAGAACTGATGGCCACAACAGTCACGCATATTTTTTCGATGAGGTTGCAAGAGGGAGATGAAGATCTGGAAGCAATAGCATATTTTACTTTTTTTTTGGCAAAAAGGCTCCATCTATTGTTGGGGAGCAGCACCTGCTGGAAAACGGGTCCAGCGTCCCTCCACATCTAGAAATGAATGTTATAACAGCATTTAGAGTTCATGTGGGCAGGCCACGTGTCCTTCGTATTCAAAGAGAACGGTCAACTAGATGGACATCCAGACCGACACCTAAGCACACCAAATAGCTGATTGAGCAGCATTGATTGCCCTCAACCGAGGGGATTAACTGCCCATCATAATCAGAAATTATAACCCTACTCTGAACTCCTCATCATCTATTGCGTAAATTGGTACCACACCATGCGGAGGAGAGGCAATCAGCAGTAGAGTCTAAGTAGAAAATCACTTACTGCCACGGCCTAACAAAATCGAAAATATTTGCCTTCCTGAACAGCTTATCAGAGACCGAAAAAACCCACAACGCCACAACAATAAGGAGGGGTAATCAGAGAAGGCAACAATACTTGCAAATTCTTCATCAAAAGAAAGGCGGAAAAACGTAGCAAAGCAGCGTGGCAGAACACAACAAGTTCACGTAGGCAGCCCTGATGGCTATTCCAAGTGCCAATTCGTGACTGCGCCCTCTATCCTTCCACAGAGAAAGCATCATTACATATGACTTTCTTCATCGAAAATTGAAAAGAAGGCGCAAAAGTCGAAGCAAGTCAGGCACGTGGCAAAACACGACAAGTCCACATTGGCAGGCCAGATGGCTATCCCCAGTGCCAATCCTCACTGCGCCTTCTACCCAGCCACACGACCCGATGATCCAAGCTTCCCTATCCCACCCCTACGCGCCACCATCCCGCTTCCCACATCTCCGCATTGTCTTCCTGTTTCCCCAGTTTTCCAATCATCCACCTCACTCGCCCATACCCCCAATCGATCCCCAGAGAACACCCGGAAGAGGAAACGAAGAGGGGAGGGTAAGAGAAGAGGGGAAGAAACTGCCCTTTCTCACTTACCAGTCCGTGAGTGACGCTATCGTTATCTGAGTTGTTGTCATTTTTGTTGTCGCCGGCTGTGTTATTGTTATTAACACCATTGTTGCAATCGTCATGGTCCCCCGGCGTATTATCTCCAGCCGAATTGCAGCTGTTATTGTTGTTATTAAAATCTTCGTCGCTGTTGCTATTGATTGAGCCGGCCTTGATGCCCTTGATAAGCACATTAGTATGATCTTCATAGAGATTGTTGACATCACCGGTATTGTTTTTGTTGTTGTTGTTGTTGTTGTCAACGAGACTGATGATAATGTTGTTCTCGCCAGCGGTCTTGACGAGAGCGGCATCGTCTTCTTCAGAGCAAACATTGCCGCCATCATTAGCGACACATTTAGAATTGTCATCTTCTTCGAAGCAGTCGTTGCCGCCATCATTGTTGGCACATTTAGAACGGTCATCATTTTTGTGATTGTTGGTATTGTGGTTTTGGTCGTTGACGATGTAGCCGTTGGCTTCATTGAAATTGTTGATAGCATTGAAATTGTTGATAGCATAGTCCGCCGGATGCAGGCGGGAATAGGGAAAGCGACGAGGGAAGGACTTAGACCCCGCTTAAACTATGAATGCAGGATGGGTTGGATGGTCGGATGCTTGAATGAGTGGTAGACGCCGGGATGGGGCTTGTGTGATGACTGAATGCAATGGTTCTCTTGAATGCAATGCAAGCCCGGAAGGACTAAGGGCAGTCGTGGATAGGTGAATGCAATGTTGGTGGCTCAAGCAAAAAAAAATATAGCGGCTAGGGGTCCGGGCGATGCCACCCCACCCCAAGGATGTCGTAGGGGCTGCCTTGAGCCACTAGACTTAATGAAAAGGTGCGTGGCCTGCGCATGATAAGAAGACAAACTTTCAATAAACTCCCTGGACTGCTTGCGTATTGAAAGGAGCAATTGCCAAGCCAGACTTAATCGAATCAAGAAAACGCCACGAGTGGCCAAAGAGTTACCATCTTGACGCGAGAGCGGAGCTACATCCTCCAATGTAAAGCCCTCTCGCAAAAGGCCCATCCCCATCCATCTCAAAGCACTAGGTGGGGGTGCCCCTGGGACAAACGACCCGCGCCCTGAGCGTGAGCGTGGGCGGGTCGAGCCAAATGGGGCCCGCTGTGGGGTCGACCGAGGCTCGAAAGTCCTTTATGGTATGGCCCCTACAACGGTGCAGGTTCTTAGCCTCCTTGTTCGTGACAATAATCTGTGTGGCCTTGTCGAAGAGCTCTGCCGGTGTCGTCAAGGTGTCCTCGACGTGAGTCAAGGCATTGCCCAATGCCGGACACGACCTCAAGATGGAGGGTTTGATGACCTTGAAGCCCATTTGAATGTCTGGGACGGATGTCAAGCGTTGGTACTCGGCAATCTAGTCAACACTCGGCAGCGTGCCTTGTTCGAAGACCATCAACCTTGATTCCGGCGGCTCTACTTGGAACCGCTTATGCCACGCCGCCTTTAGATCATCCCAGCTGATCTTGGTGTGCAAGTCGGCAACCACCACTCCGTACTTGGACAAGAGATTGTCCAACCATGCTTGGCACGCGTCCCCCGACCGGGAGTATAAGTACGCGTGGTGCTTGTGTTCGTTGACGTGGTGGAGCTGCAACTTCAACTCGAACTTACGGAACCATGGAATTGGGTTCGTCTTCGTCGAATCGCAGAAGATCTCCTGATCATCGAACCTTGGAGTCGTCTCGTGCGGTTCCGAGCTCGAGTGGGTGGCGGCAGTACAAATCCGCTGCTCCAATTGTTGCGTTGTGGTTTGCTGTAACTGCACGTCGTCCTTGAGGGATGTGACGTCCATCTGCAATGCCTCGAGGCAATCGGAGGTGTTGGAGGAGCTGGCAACGGGGGCGGCGACGGTTTGTTCTAGTTGCTGGAGGCGGCTGTTGACTTGGTCAAACACCTGATTGTGTGTCTGAGCCGCGTCGTCGAGGTTGTTGATGTCCTTCTGCTGTGCAATGCACGTGGCCAGGAGGTCCGTGAGATGGGAGAGGAGGAGAGCGATCTTGTTTCCACTCTCTTCCATTTTCCCATTCTCGGCCTCGGCCCGCCAGTCCGCTGCCATTGTGAGCAAAGCTCGCTCTCCGTTGAATATCTTCTCGCGTCGTTGAGTTCGTTCTTCATCGGCAGCCTTTGCTGCTGCCTCGTCGTGCTGGCGCTGCTGTTCGATTGCGAACAGACGTGCCTTCTCGGCATCCTCTGCCTTCTTCTTTGCTGCGGCTGCTACTGCATCCGACCGTTGCTTGGCTTCGGTAATCAGAAGCAGCATTCGGGCCTGATAGGCCTCGTGCGTTTCCCCGGATTTCTGGTCCATGACGGCTGTTTGCGAGCGCGTGAGCATAGACCAGGCCGGGGGCCTGCTGACGTGGCACTCCCTGCTGTTGATGTGGCCTGCTGACTGGTCTGCTGACATGGCCTGCTGATGTGGCCTGCTGACGTGGCCTGCTGACGTGGCCTGCTGACGTGGTCTGCTAACGTGGCAACTTACCAATGCCGCCGCAGGGAGTACCCGGAGACTGATAGAGAAGATAAGACCAGAGGGGGCAACAACATAGGTGGGAAGGGTTGGGTGGGATAAATCGCCCAGATAAGGAGCCACTAGTCAAAAAAGAAAAGTTTGAACTTCACAAAAAAAAAATTGAGAAAAAGAAAGGAAAAAAATACTCGTTTGCAAGTTCGGTAGGAAAATTTCGAACTTTCAGATTGGAAATGACGATCCGATAAGAGAATTCCGAAAATAAAATAACATGAAAATATTCGGAAATACTCAGATGAGAGTACGTGCAGTTTGGAAAATGATAACTGCAAGAGGTATTTCCCGTGCCGTTTTTTTTTTTTTTTTTTTAAAACAACTTTCGAAAAAAATATTCCGAATTTTTTTGTTTTCTGATTTTTTTTTTTTTTTTTTTTTTTTATTATTATTATTTTTTAAACAGGTCCTTATGGCCCTGGCTCCATTTCCATTCTGGGGAGCATCAGTCCGGTTCCTATTCCTTGGTAAGTCAGGAAAAATAAATACCATCATGGGACACCCTCATGCTTCCTTCCGTCTGGCCGAAGGAACCCTGATCAGCATTGATTGCTCCAACCTCGTGGAGGATTGACTGTCAACTTGCCCTGCTTCCACCTTTCCCCTCAGGAATACTATAAGAACCTGTCAAATAAAACATGAGAAGCAAGAAGGGTCTCATAAGCTACCACTGCTACCAATTCTGTCTAAACCGTAAACCCGGCATTTGAGCCACAGTGAAATCTCTAGCATTCTAACCCCTGCTTGCCTTGTTTCTGCCCAAGGCCTACCCTAAACCCCAAACCCTGAACAAGATCAATCTTTTTTTACATCTATTCCCTGCGAAACATCAGATGCCGCCTGTAGCGCATGAATCTTGGATGCTCCCTCGCAGACCTGGAACCCAGATCTGTCAAATAAGTTTATTCCTTCTAAAAAGAGGTCGCCCCTTGTCAAGCTAGCGGGTGAACACCCATTTATCCATCCTTCTCATGAGCCACACCTCCCCTGTCCCTTCTTACCTGCCCTCCCCTTTTTTGTATGTCATTAAAACCCTAGACCCTAAACCCTCGTTCGCTAAACATCACCAGCACCCTTTTGATTCTTCGACAACTTGTTCATTCTCCTTGAGTGATATGCAATCCTCTCTTTCACTGTAGTCTTGGATCTCATCTGCTCATCTCTGAAATGTCTCATCGTTGTAGCAGACGTTGGTCCGGATACGTTCTGCCCATCCACAGTTGTCCGTTGCTGGTAGTTCCTTCCTGAATTGAGTTGCGCCAATCTTTTTCAGCTAATGCAGTCCTCTCTTAGCTCTATTGTTTTACCGCTTCTCCGCCTGGTCCTGCTTAGTCTCAATCTGACCTTCCTTTGTTGTTCCCCGTCCCCTGTCCAGGATTAGTTGGTCTTCCGCCGCCTCTTTATGATTCATTAGAATCCTTAGTTGGTCTTCCACCGCCTCTTTATGATTCATTAGAATATTTTCTCATTCCCCTTGAGTAATGTTCCGTCCTCTCCTTCAGTATGTCGTGAACCACGTTCGTTCCTCTCTGAACTGTCTCTCCGTTGCTGCAGCCATTGGTCTCCCTTGTGGCAGTTTGGTCAGAGTGTGTTTTACCCGCCCACCGTTGTTTGTTGCTGGTAGCCCCTCCCTGGATTTGAGTCGTGCCAGTCTTTCCAACAAATGTGGTCTTCTCTTAGGTCCACCACTTTGCCATTTACCAGCCAAGTTCTGTTGAAGCTCCGTCTCGCCTTCTTTTGTTGGTCCTCATCCTCTATCCATTATTTTTTGATCCTCCGCCATTTGCAGAGGATTTCAGCTTGTATCATCGTTTTTGTCTCGGCCCAAACCTTCTCGCGTGAATTGGCCACTCCTTCAATCGTCTTGCTGCATCTTTCCTTCCATATGATCCATAGCGTCACCTTCCTTACGATTCCGAACCAAATTTTTTCTGCCTTCTGAAACTGCTCAGGAATGTTAGTCAGGAGGAGAAGTTGGATGGGTTGTTCAGGGAAAGGGGTCAGGAATAGGGAGTCCCATGGTGCCGAGGCTCTTGCCCAATAGTCCGTCGCCTCCCTACAGTGTACTAGACAGTGTACTATATCCTCTACCACTACGTCTGTGTAGACCGTGCACTGATCGGAATTGTTGGGGTCTGAACCCTTTCATCTAATGTGCAGCCATTGGTTTACCGGTAGTGCCGCATAGGCGATAAGCCATTGAAGGCTTCTAATTTTAATTGGTTTGATAGACTTGAACTTCTTCCACTGGATCTGAGTGAGTTTGTCCGCCTCCTGTCCCAATAGAGTCTGCCATCTTTTCTTGATGATGGGGTCAGGGTCTTTGGTTTTGAGCAACAATCTGTATCCCAGTTTAATTGTATATTCATGAATTGGGATTTTGGATTTGATGTTCTTAGTTTTATCAGGCGTCCACGCCCACTCGGCTAGGTCAAACTCTAAGTTATGAATCGTTGTGCAGGTCTGAAGATTAATTTTGGCCAGGAACCAAGGACTCTCACCTGTCTAAGTAGGAAGAAGTCTATAACTTCTGATTCTACTCCGCTGTTGACGATGGCCGACATGCTGGTAGCGGACCAGGAGACCGGAAAAGAGACGAAGGTAGCCTTAGTGGGCGAGTTTTGTTGCATGTGAGAGAACTGAAAGGCTCTGGAAGGAGTCGTTTCTTGTACCAGAAGCCCCCACTCTCCGGGTTTCCAAGGTGCAGCTTCAGTCAATATGGCCTTCCATTCTTGTGGGGTAAGATTGAGGATATATTGGAGATTAGGTTCTCGTTTATGGCATCCTTTCAGTTGGGAGCTGATCTTTTGTTCCGTCTTCCATTCTTTTTTCTCCTCATTCCGCAGGTGGGCGACTTTCCATATGTCGTTTTTGACCCAGGAGAGCCATCTGTGTTCCAAGGGGAGGGGAATGTGATTCTCATTTGTTACCCATTGATTCCCGAAGAGTGGTTGTCTGAGTACTTCATCCTTGGATCTAGGTCTATTAGATTTGCTAGGCATTATTCTTCTCCAAATTCGGAGTAGCGCTGACCAGTATGGAGTAGGAGGTTTGTAACCCTCTAGTCCTGCATCCCTCCTTCAATTCCTTCGCCCTGTAATCATAGCCCATTCCTTATTCATTACCCAGAACAGCCCTGACATGTCTTCTAGCGAAGGTGCCGGGGCCAAGGCTCTAATACTATCCAAGGCTAGTTTATTCCATTCGGTGTCAGAACTCATCAGGAGTTTAATAATCCATTTGGTCTGTAGGGCTTTCGCCTCTGTTCCAGGGTCTATAATTCCTAGACCTCCCCTCTGTGGACTTCTTGTGACATAATGCCAGGCAATCTTGGGTATGCCATTTTCTTTGTTAGGGTCTCCTGACCAGAGATAGGATCTGGTTTTTCGATTCAGCTCTTTGATAGAGCTATCCGGAACTGTCCAGATGGATGCTATGTACCACATCATTGAGAAGACCGATGTGTTAATGACCAGGGCTCTACCGATAAGGGAGGTGAAGACATTATCCCATCTCCCTATTTTGTTGATTTGTTTGGCCAGTATGTTTTGGCCCATTTGGGGTGCCAGGCCCTCCGTTGTCACAAGTATACCCAGATATCTGGTGGGTACATCTGGCCTTTCCCAAGTCATGGTTGCTTCCTCCCCTTGCAATTGGAGGGGTTCTTCATCTGATAGCCACCAACCTATTGTTTTCCCCCAGTTAATCTTCATTTCAGAGGCCAGCCTGAAGGCTTCCATTGCTTTAGCCAATGTCCTAAAGGATGAGTCTGATGCTCTGATTAGCACGGTTAGGTCATGTGCAAACATGATAGTTGTCGGGAAATCCATTCGGTGAGCCGAGCCTGCGTTGAGGACAGGGAGTCTAAGGATCGATGGGTCTTTGCGCAGAAATGATGTAATGGCCTCCATTACAAATAGAAAGATCGACGGGGCCAGCGGGTCTCCTTGTCGGACCGAGCGGGATATCAAGTAACGATCTGATAACAGTCCGTTGACTTGGACACAACTGTCTGCATCTCTGTAAAGTATACGAACCCATTTTCTGAAGTTCGGTCCTACACCCATTTTCTCCATACTTGCTTCCATGAAATCCCAATTCACTTGGTCATAAGCTTTTTCAAAATCAAAGAACAATATGGCTGTATTTATTCTTCTTTCCCTACTCTTCCTTACCGCCTCATTCAATGTTAGCACGTTGTCTAGAATGTATCGACCCGGAATGAAACCTGTCTGGTCAATGTGAAAGCATTTGTTTGTTATTTTGGTGATCCGGTTGGAAAGGGTCTTCGCTAGAATTTTATATGGGAGTGTTAGCAGTGAGATTGGTCTATAATTTTTGATGTTTGTTTTGTTGCCCTTTTTATATAGTAGTGTGACCACGCTGCTGCTGAGTAAGTTCCCTAGTCCCCCTCTGGTCCAGCAATCGCTGTAATAGTTCAACAGTTCCGGGGCTTGGCAAACCATCTATCCCAGAAGGGGCCGAAATTTCTCCCATAACTCTATCGTCAATCCATCTATCCCGGGTGTCTTGCCATTATTCATTCCTCTTAGGGCTTGGTGCAATTCTTCGATTGTGATAGGTTTGTCTAGCTCTTCCGCTTGTTCAGTTGTTATCGTCTGCTCCAGGTACTAGAGCATTTTTCTCCTCGCTTCTTTTGTGCTGGGTGCTATTGGTGTAGGGGTTTTAAACTGGTAGAGATTCTTGTAGAAATCCTTTGCTATCTCTAGCATTCCTTCACTATCCGTTCTCAGAATCTCTGGGGATGTAATAGATCTGAGGCCTTCAATCGTATCAGCTCTTGAGTTGGCCTTGATTCGGGCAAAAAAGTGCTTATTCATTGAATCGCTAAGTACATACTTTGCTTTCTCTTAGAGGCAAGTTTCCTAGAGATTTTGGTCGCTTCTAACGAGAGAGTAGAGTAGCTCTTTTGAAACCA